CCCTCCCTCCCTCCCTCCCTCAGAGGACCACGTCATGTGCTGAGCTCACGGTCTCCTCAGTCTGCTCTTTAAAGAGTCCATCCTTCTCACCCTGCAGAGACACTTCTCTCTGGGAGCAGAGACCCGCCGGAGGTCTGAGGTGGGTGGAGACTGAAGCCCGAGGTCCGCAGCCGGAGGAGGGGAGGGTGACACCGAGCATCTCGGACTATCCCATACACCCACGCGCACACACACAGGCAGAAGAGGAAGGAAGCATCATCATGGCAACGACTACTTGCACGCGTTTTACAGATGAATACCWGCTCTACGAGGAGCTCGGCAAGTAAGTCTGTCTTTGGACTGATTCTGTCCCCTGCTGTCCTGTCCCCTCCTGTCCTGTCCCCTGCTGTCCTGTCCCCCTCCTGTCCTGTCCTGTCCCCTCCTGTCCTGTCCCCTGCTGTCCTGTCCCCTCCTGTCCCCTGTCCTCCCACAGCTCAGAGCAGAGGTCTGGAGGTCTCTACATTCTGCTGCATGTTTGATCTCCTTAAAACAAAACAAAAAGCTTCTAAAATGAGTCACATCTGACTTTTCTCCACAATCATATGATTTGGACTAAAAGGTTGGGGGTCCATTTCTGGGCAACCCCACTGTCCTCCTCCTCCTCCTCCTCTGATGCCCAAAGGCTAATTAGGAGACTTCATCAGAGGAAAAGCTTTTAAGTGTTGGAATGAGGCTCCATTATTGGCTTTAATCACAGCTGAGGAGTGCTGCTGCTGCTGTGATTAAAGGAAATGTGGAGTTTTTTGGGGGGGACTTCTGGACTGCAGACAAACTGAGAGGCTGAAGAGGCGCCAYAGTGATGTGAAGTGGACTCAGTGTCTCTGTCAGGCTGTGCGTGGGCAGAGAGGATCTCTCTGCAATGTCTGCCTCACAGGAACATTTATTCCACAGCCAGAAAAAAAAAAGAAAGAACAGAAAAAAATGAAGTTCATGGCTGTAGGGTTTGTTCAGTTTTCAGATCTGTTACAGTTCAGGTTTTATTTTTACTTTTTCAGCATGAGTGTGATCTGCAGCCAAGTGTGWACAGTATGTGTCTTTATGAAGTGAGAAGTTTGAGACAAAAGAACTGCTGGAGAAGCTGTCACTGCTGATAACGTCCTTAATGATGCTCAGTTTTCTGTTCTGTTCTATAGTCATGTGAGTYAGATTTAAAAACCRAAACATCTCCTCAGAGAAACGTACAGTGCAAAAGAAGGAAATCTCTGCAAGCGAGACATGATAAAAACACAGGAAGACATCAGGACAGGAGCACAGGYTCACTGGGCTTTATWYAGCTATTGATGTATATCCTGACACACAACTAATAGTTTTATTCKTCAAGAACTCTTCTGTTCTGCCCTCACTGCAGAATAAAACAGGCTTTTAGGAATACAGAGGAGAAATGCATAATTCAACAAGAGGAACAGCATTTTCTGCAAACTGCAGTGTGACTGCTGAAATATGCTGAGCAAGCTAAAACTGAGTTTTTAACCTCAGCTAGGCAGTCAAACTGATTTGAGTGAAAAAGAATGATTGAGCTTCAAGGGAAGGCAGAGCAAAGTGTCGTCTGTGTGAGAGTGAAATAASTTAAGTTTTCTGAAAATGGAGCTTAGTGGGAAAATAAAAGGACCAAGAATAGATCCTTGGGGAACTCCACATATGACGGGGGGCCGCATTTGACCAGAACATCCTAAGTATAAGTAATTGGTTGGACAAATTATCACTTGCAAGAAGTATACACTTGTGAACTGTTCTAAATATTTCCAGATTTACACAGGCTTCCAAATTAAATTGAATTTGTCTCACAAAGCCTGCAGCACTCATTCACTGTCGTCTCGTTTAGCTCGGTGCTTCTCTCTTCCCAGTACGGGATGGTTGTTCACAGAGCACGCAATTTCCAGTTAACCTAGCTTAGCTTCCTGCACGGTCAGGCTGCCACTACATATGTTACAACCAAATGTTAGCGAYTGGGTAAAATCAGATCTTTAAACTTCAACAGAGTCCACTCCTCCAGCAAGAAATCATTTCTCAATAGCCGGGGGTCCAGACCCTCCGTATGAATCAAAGAAGAATAAGGAGCTGGTTTTTACCATCTTCAATTAGATTGACTCAAATGATTACGTTATAGAAACCACAGTGGTCAATTAATTTATTTCATAATSTACATTAATCATATTTTAATGTTATGTATACTTTTCATACTTATGTATATTTTTATTATAAGAAGAGGTTGTTTTAGAGGAGAGCAGTGTTCTGAGGTGACCTAATCCAGATTTTGGACCGGATCCTGAACCTCCTCCTGACATTGCACCTGTCCTGTGAGGGTTCTGTGTCGTTTCCACCTCAGTGTGGGATGTCATCATCCTTATACTCACCTCGCTGTGTGTTGAATCAGAAAGCCTGTGAGAGGACGGTCCTAGTGTTTTATTGTGTAACAATACAGAGGTGAGATAAAATTAGCTCCAGGATTCGACAGAAGTGGTTATTTCTGTCCGTCKCTGTGGGTTCGATGTCGAAATGTGCTTCTAAATCTCAGTTAAATACAACTTTTCTGTCTTTTATTCTGTCCTGTTTGATCACCAGCATGACATGAATTATTCAACCCAAAGAGGGAAAAACACTCGAGCACTTAGCTGTGAAAATTTTTCACTGTAGACACTGAGCGACCACGTTTGTTGTTGTTGGTAAAAACTATATATATATTAGGGGTGCAACAATACAGGAAATTCACGGTTCGGTTCGATAGTTTAGTCTCACGGTTCGATATTTTTTCAATACAAAAAAGCKAAATTTCCATGCCCCTTTTAACTTGTAATTTATTTGCATTAATTATGAACATTCGTTTAACCTCAAAAGTACAGTTTTTTAGTTAAATGTTGCTGAAACAGCAAGTTTCTCAGTGGATCTCTCTCAAAAATGCAGCCTAGGTGGAGTAGTTGAACACAGATCCACTGATCCTTTAACACAGAGCATCTTCACAAGACAAGTTGATAAAGTAAATTTTAAAATCTGTATTGTT